TAACCTAACCCTACCTACGACGACGAATACGTAGTAGGTAGTAGTTAGTTGTTAAGTTAATAATTAACTTTAACGTACGTACGTGTACTATACACACACACACACACACACACACACACACACACACACACACACACACACACACACACACACACACACACACATATATTAAAAGTAATTTTAACGCACTTAAACTGAATATTAACAAGAAACTTCTGGTTACTTACAGAAGTCATCAGTGGTGTGAAAAAGCACCAACACCATTGTAACCATGGACTAATGCTAAAACCAAGCATTTCTTTGATGTTTCCATAGAACCGGTTCACACCTGTTAGTATGAAAAGAAAAATTAACACAGCTCACAATTTGTTAATAAAACATTTTTGCTGTTACACTACAGAATACATTTGTAATTACTTGCTTACTACTAAAAACTAATTGCAAAATGATTTTTATAAAAACTAATATTTACTAGATCACTCAGGGTTTGTATTTACTAAAAAAATACAGCTATCAAGAAATAATAATATTAACTTTACAGTGTTCTATGAACTGTCCAGTGAGAGATTTCAGTGTGTATTATCTATAAGTTTTATAAAAATATGGTTCTTCAACATTAACCACTACTGTTCCTAATATTTTACAATTTACAAAGAATTAAAAATAAAAGTAATTCAGATGGAGGTTTGGAAGACAATCTGGTGGAAATTAAACAGGAGAGAGCTTTTACTTCTTGGGGTTTGAAAACTTTTTAATCTCAGATGTATTAATGATAAAGCCTGACAAATTTAAAAATCAATAAATAAATCTGTTCACAACAAGAGTTGAAAAAATTAATAAATCTTCATCATATATGTTATCTAATACATTTACTTCAGTCTGCTCATTGAAAAAAGTCGATTTTGCACTGCTGGTATAATTTTAAGTTCACATGGTTCTTACAACTAATAATCCTAAATTAAATTTGAAATTAGTTAGAACTATTTCACTTCTCTGAGAATTACCGTATATCCATGCTATGATAAAACATTCAAAGAAGCAAAACCATAGCAAGGTCAATCCACTGGCACTATAATAATCAAATATCTGAAAAACGTACATTCCTCCCTAAATGTGAAGAAAAAAAAATACTTCAGTAAAGAAATCTCTCAGACAATTCAGATGTTCTCACATTGAAATAAGATATTTCCATAAGCTAGAAAATATTTTATTTATTCTACAGGAAAAAAAGTTAATCTTCGTAAGTTTATTGCTAATTCAAAAACAACATACTTTAAGGTTTTAATGTCATATCATTATGAAAACAATAATTGTGGTGCCATCTATTGATGCTGTTTGTAAGTTAGAAGAAGAAGAAGAAACATTAGAATGAAACTAAACACACATGCACACACTTGAAAGTTTGCCTAATAACACATTAAATCCAAAAAAGCGGGAGGTATATTTGAGAATTATTTTATTTTTTAAAGTCAAGTTTTAGCTATTATTTTTCTTGTACTAAAGACTAAATGTTATTATACAATGAACAATTTTACATTTCCTGTTAGTTTACATAAGAAGTAAATAGCTCGAGGGCTGATAACTGGCTGACACACACGCATACATTATCTAATACCTTTTAGAACAAAAAAATTCTGCTGTTAATAGGTATGAAAACTATGATCAAAAGACATGACCAAATACTAATCCTACATACCTCAGTGACCATACAGAGCCCCACTAAAAAGGCAGCAAAACAGTAAACAGCAATAAATATTTCACGCCTGTAACCTTTCCTTAGTACATGAGGAAACAAATCTACAATAGCTGTAATTACACCTTCTACACAAACAAACTGAAAAAATGAAAATCCAAGTTACTTCAAAAAAATCCTTCAACATATTTCACATTTTCTGATAGTTTAAAATGTTAACACTGAAAAAAGAATAAAGTTGGGTAAAATACACACACACACACACATTCGTTTTCATTTATTTTATAACAAACTTAGTAAAACTGTTTTTCTGTGAAATCACATAATATACTGCTTTACCTAGATGAATCAGCACACAATTTTGAATAAAAAAATTGTTTAGATAATCAATGTACATGTAGATGACTGCATTAATTCTGAGCTGGTTAAGAAACACATGGGAAGTTAAAAGAACAACAAGGCTCAGGGATCATATAACCTTTCCCCAATGGTTTGAAGGAGGTTAAAGATTGGATATATGAGTCACTTGCTTCTATTTCTTGTATGTCCTTGAATAATGGGCAGGTACCAGAGGATTGGATGTTATCTAATGTAACTCCTCTTTGGAAGAGAGGTGATAAAAATTGTCCCAGTAATTATAGACCCATTAGTCTTACATCAGTTGTGGGAAAAGTTTTAATTTCTGATAAAATATGCTTTGCAAAGTCATTTAACAAAGTTTAGAATTTTATTGGATAGTTAACATGGTTTCACTAAGGGAAAATCTTGCCTTACAAATCTTTTGAGATTCTTTGAAAAGGTTACTGCTTATGTAGATGAGGGTAAGAGTGTAGATTTGGTGTATATGGATTTTCAGAAAGCATTTGACAAAGTGCCACATAAAAGGCTTTAAAAAAAATTAGCTCTATAGGTGTGGGGGATAAGTTAGCAAATTGGACAGAAAAGTAGCTGGATGGAAGAAAGCAGATGGTTGTTACAAATGGAGTTCAGTTAAACTGTATTAATGTCACAAGTGGGGTGACTCAGGACTCAGTCTTAGGGCCTTTGCTTTCTTTTTTATTGACATAGATGAAAGAATAGTCTATAAATTACTTAAATTTGCAGACAATATTAAAGTCTTTGGTACTGCTAGCTGTGAAAAGGATGCTACTGATTTCCAAAATGATTTAATTCATTTAGTGAGTTGGGTTTTAATTCTAATAAATGCAAGATAATACATGTGGGTTATTATAATTTGAATTATAAGTATAACTTGGATGGGAATAACCTTAACAGTGTCATGATAGAAAGGGATCTTGGTGTAAGAGTCAGTCTCTAAAGTCATCTGAGCAGTGTACTGTTGCTAGTGGTAGGGCAAATAGGATTTTAGGTTGTATCTATATAAATAATGAATACAAGTCTA